GCCTAGTGACAAAAGAAACGAGTAGTCTAAACAGAGGAAATAGCAAATGTGAAGCCTAAGAAAGAATAGCAATGTGAGGCATTTGGGGATAACAAAGGAAGAGCAGCAGGGTGGGGGGCAGGAGGAGAAGAACCCATCAGAAGTACAGGAAGCCTTAGAACTGAAGACTTCATCCTAGGAGAATGCTTAGGTAGTTGGCTGAGGTGACTGTGTTTTGGGGTGTGTGGGGAGAACAGTCTACAGGTGGGGAATGGGATGCTTAGATAGGGCGCTCAGAGAAGGCTGTGTAGATGGAAGCCATGCACTGAGATAAGACACTTGCAGGAGGAGCGTGTTGGTGAGTGGATGATGAGGACCTGATGAATTTGGCTGTAAGCTTTGTGGCACCTGTGAGATATACCAGAGGCGATGCCAAGCAGAACAGTGAATGAAGGACAGTCTGTAGGTCAGAAGAATTCTGGACACAAATGCAGGTATCAGTTCAGGGAGTGAGTGGAGTGAGGGGCTTACCTGGATCCTGAAGTAGTCTCACCGTTTCAGACTGAGAGGGAGCCAGCAGAAGTGGCCCAGGCATAACCAGAGAGAGAGTGGATGGTGCTTGGGAGGTTTAAATCAAATGGTCTAAGACGAAAGTCTCAGTGAGGTAACATGAAATACCACTCAGTAATTCAAACTCTGGTAATTCTCCACTTTTTATTGGAAAATTTCACATAAAAATTTCTTGAGGGGAGGGGAACTCCCCAATCATTTGTTAAAAATGACTATTTGGGGCCCGGCACGGTAGCGCAGTGGTTGAGGTCCTCAGCTTGCACCGCCTGGGATCCCATATGGGCACCGGTTCTAATCCCGGCGGCCCCGCTTCCCATCCAGCTCCCTGCCTGTGGCCCGGGAAAGCAGTTGAGGACGGCCCAAAGCTTTGGGACCCTGCACCCGCGTGGGAGACCAGGAAGAGGCTCCTGGCTTCGGATCAGCATGGCATCGGCCGTTGCGCTCACTTGGGGAGTGAATCATCAGATGGAAGATCATCCTCTCTGTCTCTCCTCTCTGTATATCTGCCTTTCCAATAAAAATAAAATAAATCTTTAAAAAAAATGACTATTTTGGGGTGTTGGCATTGTAGCACAGTGAGTTAAGCTGCTGCCCACGTGACATCAGAATCACATATGAGCAAGCTCTGGTTCAAATCCTGCTGCTCCTTTTCCCATCCAGCTTCTTGCTAAAGTGTCTGGGAGAGCAGCAGAAGATGCCCCAGGTACTTGGGGCCCTGCAAGCCCTTGGGAAATCTGGATGAAGCTGCTGGTTCCAGTCTGGTTTCAACTTGTCCCAGCCCTGGCTGTTGCAGCTATTTGGGGAGTGACAGTAGATGGAAGAATCTCCTTTTCTCTCCCTCTCTGATAACGCTTAAATAAATATATTTTAAAAAGAGAGAGAGAGAGAGAGAGAGAATTAGGGATAGGCAGTTGGAAAAGCGGTTAATCATCACTTGGGATGCTGCATCGCACATCTGAGTGTCTGGGATGAGTTGCTGCTTTGCTTCAGATCTCAGCTTCCTATGAATTCCTGTGGGTGGAGGGGGAGTGGCAGTTGATGGCTTGAGCACTTCAACGCCTGCTATCTGTGTGGGAGACCTAAGTGGAATTCCAGGCTCCTGGCCTGGGCCTGCCCCAATCCTAGCTGTTGTGGGCATTTGTGGAGTGAGCCAGGAGATTCATGGTTTTTTTTTTTTTTTTTTTGCATTATTGTCACTGTCTGCCAGCCATAAAAATGGAAGAAAAAGAAAAGACAAGGAGAGGTCTCCAGAAAGTTCACAGAAATGATATATTATTTTAAAACTTTTTGGCACCAAAATAAACATACCCTTGAATTCTATTTTTCCATGAACTTTTAAATGTATCCTCATATTTTCATGTCAATATTTTTATCCTTTAATATCTGACAATGCATAAAATTTTTGTATTGTGTTGTAGCTATAACAGATGCATCATTTGATTTCTTTCTGTTGTAGAGTGAAAGGAATGTAAGATTTCAGTAAGTCTCATTTTACTGGCTGTATAAACCCCTCATTCCTTATCCCCACAGGCTCAATGTAGGGTTGAGGAAGCACAAGACAAACAAGCCTATCTGTCATTTTGTCTTGCAGAGTTTCAGTATGCAGCAACAACTTCTGAAATGCTGCTTCTTGTCTGCAACTTCCTAAAGTCGCATTCCAACCCTGGAGAGGAAATGGACAATTTGAATTATATCCTAAGAAAAGCATGGTTAAAACAGAGGGAGACATGTTTATTCTGTTCATCCTTGAAATACAGGGACTCTCTTCATAGATAAACTAGCAAGCTAAAGACCAATGCATCACTTTCATGCACATTGTTTACTCTGGATATTCTATACCACATAATGAAGTCAAGGGCAAGAGTAAATGGTGCTTTCCCCAGCACCACTAAATCATAAAGCAGACTGAAGGGTCATGTGGTGTCCAAGAGGGTTTTTTTTTTAAATAAGCATATTTTCATGATTTCATTCTTTCAAATTTTTAATTTACAAGTCAGCTCAAATATCACCTGTTACAAGGAAAGCTGAAATGGTTAACACCTGCTTCAATTGAACTAGGCTCATTAGTTTCTAAGCTGAATTCAGTTGTCAAGTAGGATGAAAAAGAAGTATTTGCTGAAACTATAGCATTTGAGTTTCTATTAGAAACACAACTGGAGGCCAAAGGTGAACTATCTTCACCATACATCTTTATTGAAATAAAGACATTTTAACTGTTTGATGGGACAAAATTCTCTGATGAAAACCCATTCTTCAAGTGAGAAAATGTGAAAGCCCTTTAACTGACCAGAGCGCCTGGGTCAGTAGAGCTACCATACTCAGTTTGGTTTAACTCAGTAAATATGTAATGAGTTCCTATGTGGTGCAAGCCAAAGTGCCCCAAGCAACTTCCAGGTCTTTGTTTAAAGGCAATTCTTCTCTCTAACCCACTGTTTTTCTCTTTCTTTTTAAAAATCTATTTATTAATTTTTTATTGGCAAGGCAGATATAGAGAAGGACAGAGAGAAAGATCTGCTGGTTCACTCCCCAAGGCCCTGCAACGGCCAGAGCTGAGCTAATCTGAACCCCGGAGCTTCTTCAGGTCTCCCACGTGGGTGCAAGGTCCCAAGGCTTCGGGCCATCCTCGACTGTTTTACCAGGCCACAAGCAGGGAGCTGGATGAGAAGCAGAGCAGCCAGGAAACAAACCGGTTCCCAAACGGGATCCAAGGCGATGACTTCAGCAACAAGGAAGCCAGACCCTTAGGCGCTGTTTAAAACCCGATCCAGCTGTGTGAATGGTATCAGCGGCCTCCTGTAGGTTTCTATCTGGTGAAAAGGTGTTTTGCCCTCTGGGTTGTGGTGAATGGGCCATGTCAAGTCTTTGTAAGACTTCAGACAACTTACAGCAAGCTCTAGGGCTAAAGGCTGGGAACCTCTTTCTGTGTAGGAGGGAGGAGGAGAGAGCACACAGGTGGTGAGCAGAGATGGTGGGTTCTGAATCACGTGGAGATGCTGGAATTGCTGAGCGCCTTCCACACATTCTCGTTTAACCTTTGGTTAATTAATCACAACTGTGTAGGGGATGCTATGCTTAACTGCATTTTACAGATAAGGAAAATGGCCAGTGACGTACCCAAGGTCAAAGAGTAAGTCAGTAGTGGGTCTGGGATCACAGCCTCTTTCCTGCTCTCCTAGGCTTTCTGCCACAGTGCTCAGTGACTCAGTAGGAGTTGTAGGTCCCTGGTGAGTCATCCCTTGCCCACCACTCCCACATTCGTGCAGCATGGAATCCGTCTAGTATGCATACCTAATAAAGGGGTGAAGGGAAGAGACCATGGACAGGAAATTAATCGCAGAGCAGCAGGAGTGTCGGTATGGGTCTGTCTTCTGGTCTTGATGGGTGGCCCTTTAGAACTAGGGTCACCGCCTACATTTCTGAGTCCTTGCCCATACACAAAAGACCTGTTCCCTCCTCAACACAAAAACACAGGGGCTGGGGAGGGGGCGGGAAATTGCTTGGGTATATCTCAGTGATCACGAGGACCAAATAAAACCGTCTGTAGACTATAGCAGCCTGCCGACTCATAAGGTAGTAGTAGACATCTTTACAAGGTGCCAGGGAATTGTGAAGCAGTAGAGTCTCCATTACCTGAGCTACATACAGGAGGGTGGACAATAGCACTGGTAGGTGGGCTCTGCAGATGTTGCCTAAAATCGAGTTCTCCACAAGAGAAGCTTGAGAAGCTGAGAGTTTCTCAAGCTTGAGAGCTGAGAGCTTCAAGCAGAAGAAAAAGAAGAGAGGGGGTGTAACCTGTCAATAAGACTGATTCAGGTTTCTTCTTCTTTGGAGCCCTTCCCACAGGTAGATGGAATAGGACAGAACAAAAAGATCAAAAAGGGGTGGGGGCAAAGGCAGAGGGCGAGGCGCGTACGTGGTAACAGTAGTGTGCGGATGCCAGGAGTTATGGGTGCCAAGGTTTCAGACATTCCCATTGGAGTCTGGGTCCCCCGGGGTTCCGTGCGGGATGCAGGAGGAGATGCGCGTGGTCAGCCCCGCGCGTACGCGCCCTCTCACGTGCGCACACACACACGCACACACGCACACACACGCACGGCGCGTCCTCTCCGCACCCCCTCCCCCCCGGGGGGCGGGTCTCTCTCTTTAAAGAGCAGACGGTCTCCGCGCAAACCCTGGCTCTCTAAGGCCCCGGGGGTCCGGGACCCGAGCTGCTCGCAACCAATGGGCGCGGTGGAGCGGCTCGAGCGCGGCTGACGCTGCACCAATGGACGCCCGCGAGGGGCGGGGGCAGCGGCGGAGACACTATTGTTGATGAGGAGCGGCGGCGGCGGCGACGGCTGCACCACCTCGTTGCTGCTGGCCGCGGCCCGCTGCTCGCCACCCCCACCCCCCGGCACCCCGGAGTCTGGCTTCGTCACCCCATCGCGGGGCCGGGGTGGTCTTGCCTCCGGCTTCGAGAATCTTCCCCTCGCAACCCAACAACAACAAACGCCTTCCGTCTCGCCCAGTCACTGGGGAGTGGGAGGTGGGGAGGGGGACCATGTCCCAGCGAGTGAGGCGCAATGGGTCCCCCACGCCGGCTGGTTCTGTCGGGGCCAGTACGGTCGCCACGGCCGGGGGAGCCGGCAGCCGCCTGCAGCCCATGAGGGCGACGGTTCCGTTCCAGCTGAAGCAGCAGCAGCAACATGGCAGCCCCACGCGGAGCAACGGCGGCGGCGGCGGCGGCGGCAACAACAACGGCGGCTGCTGTGGCGGCGGCGCCTCAGGCCCCTCAGGCGGCGGCGGCGGCGGCGGGGCCCCACGAACCGCTTCACGCAGCACCAGCCCCACGCGCGGCGGCGGCGGGAGCACGGCCGCGCGCACCAGCCCCACGGTGGCCACGCAGACGGGCGCGTCCGTGACGTCCACGCGAGGCACCAGCCCCACGCGCGGCGCCGCGCCGGGGGCCCGAGGGAGCCCCCCTCGGCCGCAGCCTCCGCCGCCGCTGCTGGGTACCGTGTCGTCGTCGTCGCCGCCTTCCTCGTCGCCCACCCACCTGTGGACCGGCGAGGTGAGCGCGGCCCCACCCCCAGCCCGGGTCCGCCACCGGAGGAGGTCCCCGGAGCAGAGCCGAGTGTCCCCGGAGAAGAGGAGCCCGAGCGCCCCGGTTTGCAAAGCTGGTACGTGCCGAGGGCTGCGGGAAGGGGTCCAGGGCGTGCGCTGTCGCGGCCGCGCGGGGACTGCGGCGGAGCCGGGCGGCCGGGGGCGGGGCTGGGAGCGAGCGGTGGCCAGGCGGTGTGGCCGGGCAGTGTGGCCGGACAGTGTGGCTGGGCAGTGTGGCCGGCGGCGTGGCCGGGCGGCGTGGCCGGGCGGCGTGGCCGGGCGGTGTAGCCGGTGGTGTGGCCGGGCAGTGTGGCTGGGCAGTGTGGCCGGCGGCGTGGCCGGGCGGTGTAGCCAGGCGGTGTGGCTGGGCAGTGTGGCTGGGCAGTGTGGCCGGCGGCGTGGCCGGGCGGCGTGGCCGGGCGGTGTAGCCAGGTGGTGTGGCCGGGCAGTGTGGCCAGCGGCGTGGCCGGACAGTGTGGCTGGGCAGTGTGGCCGGGCGGTGTGGCCGGGCAGCGTGGCCAGGCAGTGTGGCCAGGCAGTGTGGCCGGAGGTGTGGCCAGGTAGTGTGGCCTGGCAGTGTGGCCAGGCAGCGTGGCCGGGCGGTGTGGCCCAACCTTGGCAAGCCTCCCCTACCCCTGTCCTCCCCTCCCCTCCCCTCGCCCGCAGCCCCACCAGTGGCCCTGACCGTGGAGGTTCCACCGCTAACCTTGTGCTGGGTGGGGTGGGGGACACGCAGCTGGTCGGCGTTAAGTATAAACTCAGGAACCCAGGGTGCTGCCTGCTCTCTCTTGGTCCAGGTGGGGGTGGTGAGGCCAGGAGTGGCTGTCACTTTGTTTTAATGACATGCTTGATGCTGGTAGAGCTCATGTCAGCGGCCGAGTATTTCTGGGCCACAAAGTACTGTTTTCGGGGCCGATTTCGGATCGCCGAGGAGACTGAAGAAGGGGTTTGTGTTTCCTCAATGGTACAAGAAGTGAGAAGTTGGGCAAGATTGCTTTGGAAGATTTGTGAAATTTGGCCTAGGGCCTGGGAGTATTTCTCTTTCACTGTTTTTTTTGTTGTTGTTTCGAATGTGAGAAAACAAAAGCCAGAGTTTTTCTCTCTCTTTGTAGGGATCTGATACATATTTTATTTTCCTGTATGCCTGGCTGCTTTCTTGGGACAGGTTCTAAATGGAGGTGTTGTTTCCAGTGGAGTCATGCAAAAAGGAGTACCTAGACAGAAATTCTGATTGTGAGAAAAGGGGCTAAAATTTGTCTTGTCCAAATCCAATGAAAGAACCGAGTAGTTTATGTATTAATTGTACCCACACACAGGTTTGCCTGTGGGAGTTTGTTAGTCTTGCAGGTGGAGTGATTGGGAACCTCAGGCAGTGAGCCCAGTCCTTGCTTCCCAAGTACATCAGGTGCAGTGATTTCAGAAAAGTACATCAGGTGCAGTGATTTCAGAAATGGAGAGAGGATGGATGTTACTTGAAACTTATTTCAAGGAAGGTTTAGGAGAACCTGAGAAATAACAGAGCACACTGAAATTAGTTGTGCTCAGTTTCTATTTCTTTAAAGATTTATTTATTTTTATTGGAAAGTCGGATATACAGAGAGGAGGGGGGAGAGAGACAGGGAGGAAGATCTTCCGTCCTCTGATTCACACCCCAAGTGGCCGCAACAGCTAGTGCTCTGCCAACCCAAGCCAGGAGTCAGAAGCTTCTCCTGGTCTCCCACGTGGGTACAGGGTCCCAAAGCTTTGGGCCATCCTTGACTGCTTTCCCAGGCCACAAGCAAGGAGCTGGATGGGAAGTGGGGCCTCCAGGACACAAACCAGTGCCCATATGGGATCCCGGTGTGGGCAAGGCGAGGACGTTAGTCATAGGCTACTGTGCTGGGCCCAGGTGTGCTTAGTTTTGGAAGCAACTCTTTAATCTAAGCAAAATGGCTTCAGTTTGTGTTTGACGCTCTGGAGCCAGGAAAGTGTGTCCGATGGAGGGAGGGAAGTGCTGCTGAAGTGGGGCTCCCAGGATGGTGACAGATTCTGGCTCTGCTGTTAGTTGTGTGAGACAAAGCAGAGAAGCCCAGTACAAACTGGGTTAATGAATATTGACAAAGTTTAATGGAAGATGTTCTGTTTCCAGATGTGTGCATGTGTTATTTGAAAAGCAGGCTAACAGGGAAGGGGGGATGAATCTTCCATCTGCTGATGAGAGAAAAATAAATGTGAATCTTCAGCCTGCTGGTTCACTCGCCAAATGGCCACAAGAGCCAGATATTGGCCAGACTGAAGCCAGGAGTGACACACGTGTCTTCCACTGAGATGATGGCAAGGTCCCAAGGACTTGGTCTGGCTTCCAGTGCCTTTGCTGGCACGTTAGTAGGGAGCTGGATCAGAAGCAGAGCAGCTGGGCTTTGGGCTGACCCCAGCGCTGACCTGGAAGATGCTCTTCTCTAGAATGTCTCTGTTGACTGAGACCTCAAGCTTTTCATACACTTACTTTGCATGTTTTTCAAAGCTCTGTCCTCTGAGATTCGTCCTTTCATGAGATATTCTTGATATAAAATCAGTTGTCATCTTTGATTTTTTTTCTCCCTTTCCCACAAATAATAGAAAAAAGCCACCAATACAGCTCTCTAAACTCGTGTTATGAAATCTGACTCGTGTGTGAATAGCTGCTCGCCTTCTTGCCAGCAGTGTCTGCTTGTTTCACTCTAGTGACCATCCATGCAGGGGTGGGACACGTATTTTTATGTCAACTCTTGATTGTATGCACAATGTTGGAAGTAAATCATTTGCTGTTTTGTACGACTAAATGTGAAAGTGTTTGTAATCACCGGATTCCTCTTTTGACTCCCACGGTTTATAGTCTTAGTGAAATCTAAAATCCTTATGTAGTGTAGAAGAATCTACCTCATACAGTTTTGTAAGTTTCACATGACTCAGATTCAAGTGTCACCTACGTCTAAGTGCTCCCTTCTAGGTTTCATATTGGGCAAGCTGGATCTTTCATCTTTGTTAGGGAATCCGGTATCTCAAAGTCTTTAAATTGGAGGGCTTGGTATCTTTCTATTTATGGGGTTAGAGCTAGCTAGTCATTGGCTGATTACAACTTTTTTTTTTTTTTTTTGGCTGGTATAATGTAGTCCAAGTACCATTTCTGGCAGATCTTTTTTTTTTTTTAAAGATTTGTTTTAGGACCTGTTGCAATGGCTCAGTGACTGAATCCTCACTTTGCATGCACCGGAATTCCGTGTAGGCACTGGTTTGTGTCCACGCTGCTACACTTCCCATCCAGTTCCCTGCTTATGGTCTTGGGAGCAGTGGAGGATGGCCTGAGGCCTTGGGACCCTGCACCCATGTGGAACACCCGGAGGAGTCTGCTGGCTTTGATTCAGCTCAGCTCCAACCATTGCAGGGAGTGGGCCAGCAGATGGAGGATCTTTCTCTCTTGTCTTCTCTTCTCTGTGGATCTACCTTTCCAATAAAACTATAGGAAAAATATTAAATATTATATATGTATTTGTTTATTTTAAAGTCATAGAGAGAAATTTTTCATGTGTTGAATCCTTCCCCAAATAGTGAAATAACCAGCAGCTTCTTCCAGATCTCCCATATGGGCACAGGGAACCAAGCCCTTAGGCTGTCTTCTGCTGCTTCACCAGGCACATTCGTAGGGATCTGGCTCAAAAGTGGAGCAGTCAGGCCTTGAACTGATGACAGCATTGGCTTAGCTTGTGAGATGCAGTGCCAGCCCCTCTGATATTTTCAACACTCTATCATTAGGGCCTGCCATTTCTCCGTAGCAAAGTGGTTAATCATTATAAAAGGAAACTGGACCTTTTATCCTTTTATTTGACTGTGTCTTTTATTCCTTTCCTCAGTAAATTGTCAGATGTATTTAAAATGGAGATCTAAATATAATCACATAGAGGTGAAGAGAACAGGTTTTTGGTAGACAGTCTGTTTAGTACCAATGTTTTGCTACTTAGAAGTCATGCTGAGTGGGGAGACAAATAGTTTTCTTATGTTTCTTATCTATAAATTGAGTGATAGGGTCAGTGCCATGGCATAGTAGTCTAAGCTTCTGCCTGCATTGCTGGCAGCCTATATGGGGACCAGTTTATGTCCCAGCCGCTCTACTTCCAATTCAGCTCCCTGCTTGTGGCCTGGGAAAGCAACAGAGGATGGCTTAAGTCCTTGGGTCCGAGCACCCATGTGAGACCTGGAGAGGCTCCTGGCTTTGGACTGGACCAGACCTGGCTGTTGTGGCCATTTAGTGAGTGAACCAGCGGGAAGATTCTCTGTCTCCCCTTCTTTCCTTTCCTCCATCCCTTCCTCCCTTTCTTCCTTCCTTTCTTTTCCTTTTTTCTTCCCTTTCTCTCTCTGTTTTTCAGATAAAAATAAATATATGATAGATCTTTTTAAAAAAAGTAGATGATGATGATAAACTTAATGATGGTAGGGGCCAAATGATAAAAAAAAAATCAAGAAATTATTCAGCACATAGTAGCTGTGTATGGAATTTAGCTAATGGTTATTAATTCTTATTACTGTTCCTAGTGACTAGTGTAATAAATTGCCAGTATGATCTCAATTTGGCTGATTATATGAAATTTTCTTTTTTAAAAAATTAGTTTTATTTGTTTTGCAACTAAGTCACTTCTAAGTTCTTATTTATTGGAGAGACAAAGTCATAGTGAGCTCCTACTTGGTGATTGTCCAAATGTCTGTCAGAATTGTGCTGAGCAAAGTAGATCCTTGTAAGTTCTACATTTAAATATATTCAATTCTGATTGAACTATTGTGTCTGTGGTTAACTCTACAGTACAAAGATGTTAACAAATACTAGGAACTCCAGGGACAAACTGGAGTGACACTGGGAGTGATTTAACCCACCTGAGAGTGAATAATTCTGTAAGGAAAGGTATAGAATTTCTCCTAGGAAATAGCATTTGATTTGGGTTGAAAAGGAAGGAACATAACTTGTTGTTGGAACTTAGAGGTGTATAAAACATACATATCGTATTAGTCCTGTATGGCTTTTCCTCTGAAAGGCAGAATGAGAGTAAAGTGATAGATACCTTCTATA